GCGCTACCCGACGTGCTCCACCTGCAACAACTCATAACTCGCTGATGAGGCATGACTTGAGGGGTGGGTGCTGCCGTCGGGAGGACGCAATCAAGGCAGAGGATATGCAGACCTGTCCTTCTTCTTCTCCTCCTCCTCCTCCTACTTGCCATGATGCCCCACCCTCAATGCCGCTTCAACAGCCCAGCGTAGCCTCACCTCTCCTCACCTAGCCTCCCCTAACCCCATTTGCTACCTCACCACCACTCCTTACTTGCAGTTGTTTCATTGTGATTGGAGAGGTTGAATAGACTCATAGACCACCAATGTGTTTCTTCTTGTCTCCAATTCGCATCCGGTTGTTCTGTGGTCAGGTCGGTGATGGTTCGCCATGCGACGAAAATGGGAACGACTCACTCAGTAGTGTGTTGTGCAGTCCTTGCCATAACACCGAGGTTGTGATGTCTCTCTTTTTTCCTCTGGTGCATTGACCGTCTTCTTTCAAAGAGTAAATGCCGTTGTTGCCTCGGTATTTAAAAGGCATACACAATGGCAGGCGGCAAAACTGCGGTTGATTGACCTCCTATTGACAGTAAGCACTGAGTCAGACTATAAACGAAGTGGTGAAGGAGGCGAGATATGTAGTGTAATATGAGGGTTGCCCTTTTCTCCCCATCACGTCATCAACTGTCATCCAGTTATTTTGGCTCAGTAGAGGAGAATCAACTGCCATCGCTTCCCTCACTGAACGATGCCACTTTGGTGCTACATTACTTATTTGCTTCTTTACTCATTCTTTCAACGTCAATTTTATCTTCTGGAGGACGTGTAAAACACAGAGATGGACGTGCCAGACCATCTCATAAGAAGAGGAGCAGCGTTTGGCAGCAATAATTAGCTCTCTAAGGCAGGAAAATCTGTTTGCCATGTCCCCTTGCTATCTCCTTAAAATAATGAAGTTGTTAGTGGAGGATTTTTTAAGCATTACAAATTAAACCGCCTTAAGTGAATGATACTTATCTTAAAGAGGTGGAACCTGACTAACGTATGCTCTGTCAAGCCTCCTTAAGGAAGCAGTTAGGCAAGCACAATGGAAGATTGACAGTGAGGAGTTGCGGTGTGAAGTATCATTTACTACGGCATCGAAACTGTAACGCCAATGCTAGCGGGAATGCGTTTATTGATGTCGTGACGTGGATGGGAGAAGGTGGTGCTACGGAAGTGTGTCGAGGCGATCGCGTGCACAGCAAATGGAGAGACTGCTAAATGATGCAGTATGGTGATGGTGCGAAGAGGTGAGTCTGCCCTTTCTCGTGGGTGGATGGAATGCTGAATGCTTGCATGCAGCTTATGAGCGTGAAGTGGGAATGCGAGAGGCGAATTGAAGCTAAGGGGGCATCGTTGGGAAATGAAGGAGAAGAAGGGAGAGTGAGATGCTGTGTTCGTGACAAACAAAATGGTGGCCAGGAGAGGAGGTGGAAGTGTGGATGTGGATGGTGTGGAGTGGTGAGAAGTGCAGCGAAAAGTGAGTGGTGGACGTGGTGGACATGTTCCTTATTTTCTTCCATGTGATGCATTTTGTATTGTTGTACAGCTGCAGCAGTTGGTTGGCGTGACTTGGGTAGGGCGAGACACAGATCTTTGTGTAGTCCTGCTTGGTGGTTGGCTTGTTGGGAGTAGACGGTGTGGACATTGGTGGGGAAGCGTTTGGGTTGT